TTTCGTGAGTCTGAAGAGGACTTTATAGATTGGTATCAGACACATGAGCTAATTTCAGACTTATGGAGTGGGCTGGCATGGTTTCTCAATATTCAACTGCTCTTGCATATAAACCTCTTTCTTAGCCACATATGAGTTTCTATGGATTTGTTTCTCTAGTCGACCCAGACTAACACGGTGACCAAATATTGGAAGCGTGGAAGGAAGATGGAAAGAATACACAGAGTCACTGTACCAAAAAGAACTGGCCGACATTCCACCCTTTCAGGAGGCAGCAGATGAGCAAGAACCATTGGTGCCGAAGGAAGACGTTCCAGCGGCGCTGAAAGTGTTAGGCAAAAGCAAGGTCCCAGAAATTGCTGGAATACCAATAGACGTGTTTCAACGAGTTGATGAAGCACAGGAAGCGCTTAGTCATCATGCCGGGAAATTTGGTAGAAAGCTACTTGGCCAAGTGACGAAGAGATCCATATTGGTGCCCATTCCCAGGAGAGGTGACAACAGAAGGCCCCAAAGATACAATAACGCCACTGCCATGACATGCAAGTACACCTTTGCTGAAGATCATCCAACAGTGGTGGCAACGGTGCATGGACAAGGAGCTGCCAGAGATTCCGCCCGGATTAAGAAGAGGACTTGGAACAAAGCACAGGTGGTGGGTGTCAGCGGCTCTTGCTGAAAGCAGAAAATACCGGGAGGATGTTTCCTTGTGTCTATTGCGTGTGGATCATCACAAACTATTGACAGCCCTGAAGAGATTGGGAATTCCAGAACAGTTCATGGTGCTCATGCAGAACTTGTACATGGATGGATCGAGAGGCAGTTGTGGGAACAGAGCAAGGGGATACTTTGTGGTTTGAAATCAGGAAAGGTGTGCATCAGGGCTGTATCCTCTCACCAGACTTGCTCACTCTAGACGCTGAGCAAATCAACAGAGAAGCTGGATTGTATGAATAATGAATGCAGCATCAGCATTGCAGGAAGGCTTATTAACCTGTGATAGACAGGGGACACGACCTTGCTTGCTGAAAGGGGGGAGGACGTGAAGCCCTTACTGATGAAGGTCAAGGATTGCAACCTTCAGGGTGCATGACCCCTCAGTGTAAAGAAGACCCAAATCCTGACCCTGGGCCAAGAGGTGACATCCTGACAGATGGGGAAAAGGCTGAAGTTCCAGGATTTTGTCTTGCCTTAACCACAACCAAAGATCACGGAAGCAGTGGGCCAAGAGACCCAAAGGCTCCTTGTCTGAGGTGACTCTGCAGCATGAGAGCTCTTCCAAGTACGGAAAAGCAACGATGTTCCTTTGAGGACTGATCCAAGACAAGATAGTTTCCATTGCTCAGGTGCATGTGAAAGTTGGACACTGAAGGAAGATCAGAGAAGAATCGAAGCATCTGAATTGTGGTGCTGGAGAAGACTATAGAAAGGACCATGGCCTGCTGAAAGGACAAACTGCTCTGCCTTGGAAGAAGTACAGCCAGCGAGCTCCTTCGAGGCAGGGCTGGCGGGACTCCCCGCTCACATACCTTGGACGTGTTGTCAGGAAAGACCAGTCCCTGGAGGAGGACAGGTAAAGTGAAAGTTTGGTCAAGTGAAAGGGAGGAGAAAAAGAGGAAGGCCTTTCAGTAGGTGGACTGTGGTGTAGTGGTGACACCTGGGGCTGCGAACGGCAAGGTCAGCAGTTTGAAGCCCTCAGCCAATGCACCAGAGGAAATGGGGCTTTCTACTCCCATGAAGAGTTAGAGTCTGAGCAACTCACAGGTCGTTGTGAGTCAGTGTCGCCTTGAGGACAGTGCGTTTTGGACAAGG